GCTGGCTTGACCTTGCTTGGTTTCTAGTTCAGCATTCCAGCTCTTTAGTGCCCAATCTTGACCAAGACCGTTGGTGGCTCGTGAGAAGAGAAGGACGAGTAATGGCCGCAGCTGTTTCGACGGTTGGAGAAAGTAATACTCTGCTATTTGGGTGAGGCCGGGATGCGCTGAACCCATTAAGGTCAGCATCGAAGTACGAAGTTGTGCAAGTTCTGTAGATACGAGAGCGAATGGATCTATCTTTGGCTTTGTGGAACGTTGCTGGGGTTGATTAGGGACCCTGCTTGTTGGAGGAGGTATGTTTGCATCTGTGCTCAAACTTGGTTGAACGAGTGTCTGCGACATCCTTTGGGATGCTGAAGTGTGTGTTTGTCGACTACATCTGCTTATGCAGACTTGGGTTCTTCGAGCAGCGTGTACCGAACGCATTTTGGTGAAGGGATGTTGTCTACAACAGCAAAAAGGTTGAAAATAGAGCCAATAACTTTTTCCTAAATTATACAGTTCTTGAAATTGCAAGACGGCTCGTCAACACTCGTTGTCAAAGTTTCGATGATGATAGCCAGCATCGCATGAAGCAATGCCGTCTAACCGGTACGCACCCTATTTCGCAAGAAAACTTCAATCTCACCACTACCTTGCGTTCTTTAAGAAGCAATACGGCTCCTCGTCTAGGATGGCAAGAGGGTCTAAGAGACTTTCGTGGACGTCGAATTCCAAGGCGCTTTGGTTTGTGAGAACAGGCCACTTCCACACACACGCCTGCTAGCCAATCTGGTAGCGCCGAAAAGTGTACCAGTCTGAACACCTTTCTTATATTCGTCATCCATATTTTCGTGCTTGGAGATATCCAGTTTCCGAGCAGAAAATCTCTGAGCTCAAGCCTCAGCTATTCATCCCAGGCCGCGTATTACAATCTGGTCCCTGCCGTCTCGGTATATCTCGAACCCTGTCAAAGCACTGCACATCTGACAAGAAAACACCCTTCCCTAAGAAACATGTCTGTAAATATGCCGCATCTTCATACTCTCTTTTCTAAAGCGCTTGATCCTGATCGCCTACACACCATTATGCTCACAAGTACAACCGGTGCTATCGTCGTCTCTGCATGTTCAATTGCATCCCAGGAACGTAAAAAGGCCACTATTGTGCTAGCTGCGTTGGCTGCTGAGACGTGGACGAATGTTCAGCAGGATTTGGACAAATCTCAGAGTGGAAGAGGTCCCGAAGGGGATTCTAGCGCCGAAACTAGTGAAATACAAGGTGGATGGGCAACGACAGAGGTGTGTCTACATCGGCGTCATCCCATCGAGCGACACTGACGGCCTCAAGTTTGGTAATTTATTCGTGTACCCGGTCATTCGGCCAGCCAAAATTCAAACCCAAGAGGCACACCACGACGTCGACCAGGATGCAATGTTCCTGGTAGCGGTTAGCGGACCTGAAGAGGCGGGGTGGGAGCTCCTGGAGGAACGTGTACGTATAGAGACGATGATTTCCTCATATCCGGAATCCTCGCGTTTCTAACTATTACGTAGGCAAAGCTTTTAGCCGAGCATCTTGCTCCCATATTTGCCGAGTATACAGACTCTATGGCAGAAACTCCTCCTCTGACGTCTTCTAGACTACCCAATGTCCCGAGACAAGTCAGAGGTTAAAGATGAAATACAAAAGCCTGTTCTTTCGCCTTATCAAAACCTGTTACGGACACGCCCACAATGCCACCTTACTTCGCATTGTATAGCCCTCGATAGGGTAGATCTGACTCGGGTAAAGCTCGTATATTGATATCACAACCCAGTCCTCCTCAGTGCTCCCCTTTATGTTCATAGAGGGTCAAAATCTGGCCGGATGTCTTTATAAAATATCCATCTTGCGCATGCATTCGCG